ATAGAAAATTTGATATCGGCCTCAGATATCGACCTTTTTGACTGGTGAACACCATGGGTTGTGGAGCAAAGTAAACAGTCTTAAACAGAAGCAGATGGCGCAGTCAGGCTGAATAAAAAAAACACGATTCTTGACCATCAACCGCGAGGCCTCATCACCGAGGTTAACCCGACCTGCCCGTAATCGTATCAATAACCCAATCTCGTAGGTGGGTCCAGCCACCCCTTATAGTTTTTGAGCCATTGAAACGAAACACTAGTGAGAAGACCGCTGATCGCGCCGCACTCGGGTGGTTCCTGACCTCTTGACGAAAATTTTTGGTGGTCAAGATCCATTGGCGTACCCCTTCATGGAACGTTTACGAAACCTAGCGGAGAGGCAGCAACGTTTCCAGTTTTATTTAGCATTATCGAAAATAGCCCAGCATCCATCTGCCCATGATCTACATGCTTTCCGGCTATAGTATTGATGTCTATATTGGGGTAACGGTACGAATGCGACTGGTAGTTTGTCGCCCCCGGGCCTCCAACCTCATATCAGGTAGAGATTTTGTTACTCTCAGAATATAAACGGCATGATTTCCTCCTCCCTCAGGATCGAATGGACTCCGATTTGTATAGGAGAGTGTCTAGCACAGCAAGTGTCTGCCATCAGATCAGAACCTGACCTTCAAGTCATTCACCAAATTCCAAATTTATCGAAACCACTATGTTGCGAAAACTCAACGTCGCCACAGACGACATCCCTAGAACGAAGTTCAGGCTTCATATCGCCATAGGCTCATTGGTCGCATTAACATTCATCCTGATCATTGCCCGAGTGGCCGACAGCGGAACACCACGTGCCCGAACCAATACTTGGGGTATTGCAGTGGTAAGCCTGCCCAAAATACGAGATGAGACCGCATTGCCGATTCTTAAACTGATATAATTCGTACTAGTGCGTAAAATCAGCCGTTTTCATGGCGTACCAGATTTGTACCGGCCATGTTGACCGTCTTAAAAAATGGCACAGCACAAAAGTCAATGTTGTTTTGAATGTGATAGATACGGTTTTCTGGTTTGCGCTTTTCATCATCTCGATTCTCGGTGCTGCGGCCTCACGCAGTACCTCAAGCCGTGTGTTGGGGGTGATTGTTATTCTTCTGACTATTGTTTTGTGGTAAGTGTTCTAGAAATCGTAATGTGTTTTGAGCTAACCGCTTGTTTGTACAGCCCAATGGTTGCCTTTTTCACCTTCATATGCATGTATGAGCGGCGTTATTTCAAGCAACATGGGACACTGCCAGGAGAAGCGGCGAAATATCCTGGCGGTGTCTAGGCGAGCATCCAGGGTAGACGGTAAAACACACGGCTCTTTGCAAAAGGCAGACTAGATTTTGTACCACATGGAGTAGTGTCAGTGTTTAGAAGACTAATTCACGCTCTTATACACCGCACTATTCAGGCATGCTTCATTTGACTAAATAATAATCTTATGTACATAAGTTTATGCATTTTACAGACTGTTCCGCACATGTAGCAGATTAGTTCAAACGTTCTTAAGCCATCATAGGCAATGTGGTAGTCTTGACCTGTGTCCAGAGAACATGCAAACGGTCGCCCTTACCACGCACCGAAGTAATCCCAATTGCAGATTTCTACGCACTTTTTACTATCCCTTTACCATTATCATCGCCCCAATCCCCTGGCTGATAGACAGACTATTAGAGCATAGTTCTGCAGTATCGTGGGATATAGAGTACGGAATTGGTTACTAGTGACATCATTCATAGTTATACAAGGGCATTGGAGAAATAGAAATAGCTCGTCAACAATGCTTGCACGCCTGTTATCCTTTTTGTCGGACTTGAACGTTAGGCTGCGGCAATGTGGTGGGCTCATAGACGCAGCAAGCGAATTGTATAAACATAAATAACTCCAGATTTCTTGCAAAACACCGTACCCCGCAGGTGAGGACGATTGGGGTGGCAAACAATTAGGAGGATGTTATTCAAGGTAGCGCAGAGTATGGTACGATACAATATTCTAGCCTGCAACCTAGTGCTATAGTTATCTGCTATGCGATATTACGGAGGCTTACAGGTTATCTCTAAACCTTCTCCACAGCTAGCGCCGGCTCTGAGCTAGATACTTTGTGTGGTGTATGGGGAAATTACTTAAGAAAGGCAGAATGAAGCTGTTGTCGGAAAGTTTCAACGAACCGCAAGTGGAGGTTAGAATGGTTCAGATTGCATGAAAAAGGAAAGATCCTCTAGAACCTAGATCTAGCTTCAATACATAGAAACTATATGGCTGGAAGCTACTATCCGGTAAAAAGAGAGGGACTGTTGACTACTTACTGGCTTCTAGCGACTTCTAAAAGCCGACAGCTGTATCATCCACACACACGTAGCCTGGGCCAGATGCTTCCGCTGGCTGGTTCACTATTCCCCTCCCGCTTGATGCTCGGTTATATATATTGCGGGGCCGATCCCTCAGCTGTTTACATAGGCTAGCTGCTATGTTGTCACATTGTGCCGTGACCCTCAAAAGGATTTCTGGTTGCTCTTTTGGGTTGCTCACAAGGAGCGTTACTAGCTAATGTGTAAGGGGCTATTCTTGAATCTCATAGCACCAAGTGTTTGAGATCACGTAGTCCTCCTATGTTTAGTATGAAGCCCGGTTAGCTGACTCCGCGGCGCGCCAGGGCGCCACGAATCGTACTCGTTTGCATAGCCACATACGGCCCCTGGAAGTCGTCGGGTTAAACCAAAAGGATACAGCCGGTATGACGGCGAAGCGGGGTAGTAACTACCTTCACCCGAGTCCCCAGGATGTAGATAGTTTTCCACTCTAGGAGGGGTTACCACCGAGAGTATTTGTTTTTCGCAACAGGAGCCGTCGGGGACGAATAGTGATATCGCATATTGGATACTAGCCACTTGGGAGTGTATTGTTGACGCTTCTGATGGCACAGAATCTTGAGCAGGAAGCGACACCCATGCCGCTTTCAACCACCGACAGGATCCCAGGGCGGATTACCCCACGAATTGACTGACCCGCCTTCGTGCCGAGGGTTTCAGCACGAAAGCGAGTAATCAAGAACTTCATCGTAGGTGGCATGGTTGTATTGGGCGAGGGCGTGCCCTGACGCTCCTCTTTAAACAGTAACATCGTCCGATACTGCGAGCTTGGCAGGTTTGGCCATCTCTCGCCGCTTTTCCCAAATCTGGATCCATATTCATTTTGAAAATCATGTCAATGTCCTAAAAGAAAGGGAGAAAAATGGAGCTCCAATAAATCGACAACATCGGGCGCTTTCCACAGTTGGCAGAGATTCCATTTTACAGGCCTTCCCTGGAAAGCAGTTTTCGCCACGAAAAGCAGATCGTGATTTTCTGAGCGATCAATGCCGCTGGGGTGAACGTTGGCTGAAGATTGCTGCTAGTATGGGATTTGGTGTGATTTTGCTAACTATTCAAGAATTTGCAACCCAAATGTATGCCCACGGAAAACTATCGTAACATGATCAATTCAATCACATGCTGACTTGAAAACAGAGGCAGGAAAACAGCATTTCTGAATAAAATGGTGGACACGCTGGCGATTTATGTTCTCAATCGCTACCCGGCACTTGCTCAATTCTACAGATCATTGGATCCCCTGGTTATCAGACTCATGCTCGGAGGCGACCACCGTTTTTCTGAAGACCAAGTAAACATTTCTTTGGAGAACAGTATGGGAGATGAAGCATCCAAGTTACAGGACTGCCACACGTTACATATTCCAGATCTGAAGTTCCTTTCTACCTCAGTTGGCTCCAGCCTGATCCAAACTCAGAAAACCCAAGGAGCGGTTACTGTATTTCTAATACATTGCCTACATGACTCTGGCCTATCCAAGTATAATCTGTTCATTGAGCCTTGAGTTTTAATCTGCGCAGCCACATCATGTCCGCCTACCAGGCGGTATGTCTCTGCACTGCAGCCGCACTTAGGGTAAAGAAAAACAGCATCGTTGAGAATTTAGTGAGCGGGCTGGTCAAGTCGCGTGTTGTAACGGAATCCTCAGAAGCCATGCACAGATCTCTCGCACTCACAGAGGATCGACACCTTATAGGTGTCGACACGTCAGCGTTGGCTCACCGTAAAGGCTGATACCCCATGTTAAATAGTCCAGTCTGGAGAACCCATAGGTTCTCCAAGAATCAGTCTCTGTATTCCTCCAATATACTACTTGCTCTTCAGGCATCTTCGTCTTACCCAGTTGACAGGCTCTATCCTGCAAACACTACCCCCTTTCTTTACAATTGTTGTCAAAACTTTCTCTATGATGTTGCTGTTAGCCAAATCCTGGCTTCTCATTCGCTAATTTGATCCACTATCCTCCTCTGATTCGCTACCTCCTTGTTCTGATTGATCGCGAATTGGTGGCATGGTTAGGTGGGCTGAATTGATTAGGTGCGAAGGGCATGACGCGATCGCGGGTAGGTGTGTCACTCGCCTGCCTGCGTCACTCGCTTGTAGCTTACGTTATAAATTCACAATCTTGGGCCAGCAATCATCTGATGACTTTCAGGGGCACTAATTCTAAATTCGCTACGCAGTGGAGACTTCGCCCTAGGCCAGCCAATGCCATTGCACCACACAAAGTAGTTCGTTTACAACTGCGTTCAAGCCCACTACAGTTCATTATGATCGACGAGTGCTTGTCACATCTTTGATATTTCCCGCCCTGGGCCGTCCAGTCCTCATTCTCGCTTCCGACATGTCTCCACTGGCGCTTGTCTATTAACATAAGGCCTAACTTAAAATGTTGGGGACGATCATCGAACACGAGCCTTGATCCACACGATAGAGCGGTACGAGAGAAGACGTCAGGCAACGGTTTGGGGTATTTCAAATACGAAAGTTGACATAAAAGGGACGAGCTTGCATCTGATGTCGAAGTTCTCGTCATCATCTGGACCAAATGATATCAGTCAAATCCTTGTTTTTGTCGCTTCAACAGTTGGTCGCCATGACGCAGCAACCCGCATTCACCGTGAAAATTGCCTGGCGTTGTCCGATTGGCGGAGTTCCGTACGGACTGTCTCAGTATGACTATTCAGATGAAATACGGCAGATGATCGACCAGAAGGGATTCTATGGCAGTGATCGCTCTTTCCAGCTAAGCAACACCAACTCGGCGTCCACAACCTTCCAGCAAGTGAAGCATCTCCTGCAGGAAGAATGGGGGTACCTCTTTCCATTCAATCTCATTTCTTACCTTACCACCAGGTCGGTATGTCTGATGACGCCGGAGGTCCACTCAGAGAGTTTGCAGATACAGACACGTTAGGCATGGCCTGGGAGGCAGCGGCAGAGGACAAACGACAAGAAGGAACCGTCAAAGTTGAACTGCAAACAATGGCGAATTATCTTGAGCAGATCGAGGGGGTCATGGGCTCTAGAGGCGATAGTCAACACTCCCTTGTGTCGGCTATGAAAGGCTGGCGGCATCATGCGAATGCCTTGAAATATCTCCGAGGGAAGCAGAACAGTGTTCAAGGCGATGAGGAGGAGCGGGCAGTTTTGGAATCGAAAACCCAAGAACAAGAGACACTCGCGCAGCGCTGGGGTCAATCTGCCACGAAGAAAATGTCGGATTGGTACAGACTGGTTTCCGGGCACGAAGCGGAACCCGCAGAAGAAAAAGATATCGAATCCCGCTTCAGGAAATGGATTGACGACAAGATTGAAGTGCAAGAGAGATACCGCGAGAAAAAGCGAGCGGAAGCCGAAGACCAATCGCACGATTCAGCCTTCAGTCCCAATCGGGTGGTATGTCGGTCGTTGCGTGATGAAGGATCCGGTCACATCAGCGCCGACTATGGCAGCTTCAATCTACGTTCGGGAGTCTTGCTCTGGGGCCAATTGCCTACAATTTTTTCTGGGTCCAGAAGCGAGCAGTTCCAGAGGAATGCGGAGTCCGTCCCAGACACGCTGCCTGGTGGGACCATTAAGCAGTCGGTTCATTCGTACCGTGCGGCTGCGAGAAAGGGACGTTGGACAGTTCGTAGAGCCTTCACCGATGACGCTGCAGGGAATAGCCGCGATGGCCTGGATGGGAAACCGACTCGACACCTTGGCTGGGTTGTGTCTCATGAGGATGTCGACCCTCTCGAAGTCCTCACACGGTGCAGCAGCCTCAACCCAGGTACGGGGAGAGTACACGGGTATGATCAGATTGATAAGGTAGGTGTTTGATCCCTCTTCATTTTGTTTACTCTTCACTCCATGTCTATTGTGCGTTCTACCACGAGCAAGATCAAAATGCTCATTAAGCTCTCGCAGGGCGTATTGTACGTCAATCGATATGACTGGTCATATCACTTCGACGGCCAAGCAGTCAACAAGAGTCACCCTTCTGAGTACAAGGATTTCGTGAAGTTCGCAATCGGCCCGAAGGAAGCGTATGAAGCGGGGTACATGATGGTCTTGGACGCCGAGGAGTTCTCGCCTGATCTTGTGGACAAGGTTTCCCGGGATTACGAGCCCAGCCAGATGCAGGAAATATTCTCGCCAATCCGAAATACTCTGTCCAACAATATCCAGGAGAGGATCTTCATGAAACCGACTGGGAAACAGACTATGGAAGGATTCGGGACTTTCGTCTCGATGGAAGACACGGAATATGAGTTCGGTAAGTACAGCTCTTCATTGCAATTGGACACTTAATTGATAGGTGAATAAAATTAGGATGGCTTGTCTTCGCTGATAAAAAGCATGATGACTTCCCTGAAGCAGACGAACTAGTAGCTATCATCTACGATGGCGTCTACGATCTTCTTGAAGGGTATAACTTTGCGGTTGAGCCTGGTCCTGACATGGAAACAAGCACAAACACTAAAGAAAGCGAGGATATTCAAGCCGCCATCGAGAAGAATGATGTCGACCTGGTGAAGAGTCTTCTGGAAAGGAACCTAGAAACGGGGGTCAGTTGTTTTGGGGATCCTCTCCACTTGGCCGTGTGGATTGGCAATGCGGAAATCGTCAGGATGTTGCTAGAAAGATGCCCGCCCACCGAGAAAGAGATATATGACAATGCTCTGCATTTAGCGGCCCATGGCGGTTATGAGGACATTCTGGACATCCTTCTCGACAACGGTGCAGATGTTAATGCTAGCAGTGAGCCATACAAGACTCCCTCCAAGCTGCGGCATGGGCAGGGAACGCGAAGATTGTGAAACGGCTCTGCGAGAGAAATGCCGATGTCAACATTGAAGGCGGTCGGTTTGGACATGCCGTTATCGCTGCTGTGAGCGGCAGGAACAAAGATGTCACAGAACTACTTCTTGAAAACAGGGTGAATGTCAATGCAGCTGGTGGTCAGTACGGACATGCTCTGCAGACCGCAGCACTGCTGGGAGACAACCAAGTTTTGGAAATCCTACTCGATAACGGTGCGGACATGAATGCCGTGGGAGGCCAATATGGAACAGCTTTGCAAGCCGCGGCATACCGAGGAAACAAAGAAACTGTTGAGACCCTCCTTCGCAGAGGAGCGAAAATTGATGGCGAAGGAAACGGCGAGTACGAAAGTGCTCTCTTTGCCGCTGTGATTGCGGAGCATAAAGAGATTGTCGAGATTCTCCTCAGCAATGGGGCAGATCTCAATGCTGAGCACAAAAAGCGCAAAGGCGCTCTTCACGCGGCTATGGAGCAGTGGAGCACGGAGATAGTGGAGACAGTCCTTGCATGGGGAGCGGATATCAACGCCAAATGTGGTCCGTTTACGAACGGTCTCCAAGCCGCGATCAAGATGAATCAGCCACTGTTTGTGGAGATGTTTATTGATCGTGGAGCAAGAGTCCAGGGGGACATCTGGACTGGGAACGGAGCCATCATACGGGTCTTACTGGACAAGGGTATATTGGTCAGACAGCATGTTGATTAATGTTCGTCTTTAAGGAAGCCATTAAGCTCTTTTCTCTCGATCTCGTCCGTACTAGCTTCGAGCTTCAAAAGTAAATAGCGGAGGAGTAAAGATCACGTGTAGGCAAGTTAGCCATCTTTCAGCCGTAGGTACTGCAGCTAGCTATAGGAGGGGCTGCCTAGCTAGGGGTCCTATCCCACGGGGGTTGCTGGAGTCTGGCAGACTCCAGGTTAGGGTTTTCCCTTCACTATGGGACATAAAAGTGGGTCCCGCCTGACTCCAGGTTCTTTTCCTCGCCTGACTCCTGAGGTCTAATGAACTCCGATCTGTCTAAAATTTTTATGAATTATAATGGACTATATGAAATATCTCCCATTTGCTTCGGAGCATGCGCAGCCTAGTAATTATCGAGAAAATGGCGATTAAAAATTAGAGATGTTTTGTTGGGGTGTACCATTACGGTGTACGTTTAGCGCCTAAGACGCTACCACAGCACTCTAGACGAATAGAATAACCTCGATAATGCTAGTCAATAATGACTAGGAGGGGTAGCAATTAATTTAGGGGGTTTTAAAGCTTCCTAGCTATTATCTCACTTTCTTTTCACACTATTTGACCATAAAGTCAGCATTCGATATTCGTCAAATTTCATACAATTCATTATTTTACGATATATATTGCAGTAGTCAACTATGGCAAGCCAATTTTTTCACCAACCTTCGACAGACCCAGTTCTCGTCTGTAAGCGATGCGAGCACGTTATTAGACCGAGAGAGGTCTTACGACACCTTTAATCAGCGAACCATCGACTTCCAATGCGTACGGCACGTCAAATTGCGTATATTGTTCAAACGTCCGACCGCGCGCATGAATACGATGAATGGCAGCCCCCGACGGTCGTAGACCAGCCAATTGCTAATTTGCCAGTTTTTTCGGATGGCATTTTATGTGAAAAGGACCTATTTTGTCAATTTATTGCCCGTTCTATTGGGACCTTACGCTACCATTGGCGTAAACGCCATGCGTGGGTCGCACCGGTCAACTATGGTAGTCGTCGGCGGCAGCAAGGGTTATCGGAGGCTAAGCAGCAAATTCAGCAATTTACGCGCGTCGTAAGATGCCAGCGCGCATTTATCCAGGGCCTAGGATCTCATTACATTCGGGTGCGTACGCTCGGGGCGGCGGCTATTACGGAGGCCGATTCAATGCCCGCGACCGAGGTCGGCGACCGGCTTATTGATGAAATCGAACTAGCTTTCAAAGAGGAAAGTGAACTGCCCTAGTTGATCGAGGCTAGTGAGCGCGATGACGCGAATCCATGGCTACGTCGTACGCGGTGGCCCGTCTACCTCCGTGGAATCGACCCCCAGCATCTTATTGACTGCGTCCGAGCACCCGAGGTCGATTCATGCGATCCGACGGAAATGGCGGCAAGCGCTATATAGGATGCAATGGCTGCCGTCGCGAGAATTAGCCAGTTGATTTGTACGAAAACTAGCCATACAATTCGCACCGAAGCCGTACGTACGGAGCGTGACCGGCTGCCGCACCAGCCATTGCAAGCTTACATGGATGCCGATAACATTAAGAGACATACCGTGCCGTGGCAGCAAATTTTGATGTTTTTCACGCGTACCCAGGCTTCGCACGAATGGGCCAGTCCAAATTACAAATTCACTAGGCGCCAGCGAGCCGCGTGGAACTCGCTTTAGAAACTAGCTCAGCCGGGCGCATCACCTAGCGTAGGCATTGCTAGGTCAGCTAGCCTAGCCACGGCTAGTTCAGACGATAATAGCGAGCATTCAGAGAGTGAGCATTTAGAGAGTGACACCGAGGATCATCCCACGCAGCGAATTGCTAGCGAATCGCTAGCGAATCAGCAAAACAGCACCGATTCTCCGTTTCAGCTAGCTCCCATTGATCTAGCGTGTCTCAATTTTTGCATCGAGCTTTTGAATCATCGAATTAAGGTCGAGGACTATGAGAGCGCGCTGATTTGTGCCACGGCAGTGCTCGGTCGGGGTGAGACAGGCTGGCGTACGGCAGAGAGCTATCCTCCGATTTTATCGAAGCTTATTAAAATTGCACGATTCATGGTAGTCCACAAGGCATTAAAATTGGATTCCACGGCTGAGGCAATGCTATATCAGCTAGCGGAGCATCAAATGGCAGGGGATTGGGATACCGAGAGTCCACTCGATACGCCTGAATTTCAGACATCAGATGATCCATTTTTCAATTTCGAAAATGGCCCAGTTCTGCCACCGACGCAGTCATCGCAATTCATTCAATTTACCCAGGCTCGGCAGACCCAGCGATCATTTCGAGAGTGGGTGGCTGAGATGGTAAGCCAATTCATGGTCCGTGGAACTAATAGTCCAATTCAATGGCTATTAGATCTACGGACGTACGGCTTAAAGATCCATTACAATAGCACCACTACGGGCCACGTCGGCTGGATGAATCAGGACCAGCTACTTTACCAGCAATTCAATTTCTCAATAGGTGACTTCCGTGGGTTCATCCACGGGCTTACAACCTCGGCACGCCAAATCCTTCACAATGAGCTATTATTCGTCGAAAATGGGTCCGTTCCAGCTATTCCATGGCAGGCAATTTACGACGATCCCACGGAGACAGCTCACGGGTGGAATTTTTTAAATGACACCCGTACGCCATGGCCCGTGGTCGGTGAGCAATGGCTGATCTCTCGGGTCCGGCAGCACGGCCCCGTACGGCAGCGATTTATCGAGAGTAGTGCCGGTCGGCTACGGATGGCAGCAATTGACGTATACCTTCAACGGGTAGCGCATTTCCGTGAGAAGCTTGCTATTGCTATTCACGTGAGTGGTGGCCAGCCGGCTCGAGCGCCAGAGCTATTAAGCATTCGGCATTGCAATACCGATAGCGGGGGCCGTCGCAATATATTTATTGAGGACGGGCTCGTAACCTTCGTCTCACAATACCACAAGGGGTTTTACGCATCTAATGATACGAAGGTGATTCATCGCTATTTACCCCGGGAAGTAGGCGAGCTTGTGGTCCATTATTTATGGCTAGTATTGCCATTTATACGACGATTGGAAGCGTACGTAGCGAAGGTGCGGAGATCGGACGGCGTGGAAGAGATCAAGAGGTGAGTTTTTTCAATTTCTCAATTTCTCAATTTCTCAATTTCTTAATTTCCAATTTCTTAATTTCCAATTTCTCAATTTCCAATTTCTTCAATTTCTTCATGATTTTTACTAATTTTGGCAAGTAGGCAGCGTCAGGCTTACCTCTGGGGTCCGGATCCTGGCACTAGCCGAGCTTGGTCATCTGAGAGACTCCGTGAGGTCTTAAAACGGGAGACCACCATTGGGCTTAATGGGCAAGCGATCAATTTGAATGCTTACCGAGATATTGCTATCGGCATTAGCCGTCGCTTTATGCGGCCATCTAGCGTATTTCCCAATAATACGCAGCAGGATGCAAGGGCCGATGCTTCACAAGAGGATGACGAAGACGGCATGAATGCTGAGCAATGGATGGGGCATATTGCTGACCTCCAGGCGGCCCATTCATCCCACGTGGCCGGCATGATCTACGGCCGTGGCATCACCGAGCAGCCCGGTACGACGGCCCACCGGCGTGAGATGTTTCGGCTTAGTAGCACCGACTGGCATCGATTTTTAGGCTTTATGTCCACGGATGACGGCGGGGCCGAGAGTGCGTTAGGAATGGCCCAGTTTTCACCATGGCAGAAGGAAGCCGAGATCGGCCGTACGGAGCGTCGCTGGCAATTGACGCAGGCAGCTATAGAGCCCGAGATACAGCGAATGCTAGGAAATAGCGAGCTTCAACTCCGAGGGGTGCAGGCACCGGCGTTAGCAGCGATTCAACAAGGCCAGAGCCCGGTGGTGGCCGTCATGCCCACCGGGGGTGGAAAAAGCTTACTTTTCATGCTACCCGCGTGGATCAGCCCCCGTGGGGTGACGGTGGTGGTCGTGCCATTAATTGCATTACGGGGAGACATGGTATATCGATGCCGGCGGCTCGGCATTTCATGCGTGGAGTGGGAGAGCCGTCGGCCGGCAGACCAGGCATCGATTGTACTCGTGACGCCGGAATCAGCTATTACGGAGGATTTCATGACATTTTTGAACCGCCAGCGGCTATGTCATCGGCTAGATCGCATTGTGATCGATGAATGCCACGTGGTATTAAATGATCAGACCCATTTTAGGCCCGCCATGGCTCAATTAGGTCGATTGCTCGTGGCTCAGGCTCAGATGATATATTTGACTGCCACGCTGCCACCGACGGCCGAAAACCAGCTATTTCAACGGCTACGTACGTCGCGAGAGAAGGTCCATTTATTTCGAGCTCGCACCCATCGCATGAATGTCGCTTACCGGCTATGGCAGCCTACGGTGCCGAACCCAAGCCGATACGCTAATAGCTACGATTGGGTAGAGAACCCCGAGATCGTACGATTTATTAGAGATCGTATTACGCGCGCGCGTGCTCAGACCGGCCGGGTGGTCATTTACGGGCCCACCACCAAGACTGTCGAGAAACTAGCCGAGTTAGTCGAATGTGAGGCATATCACAGCCGTACCATCGATCGCAATGGCGTACTAGCCCGTTTTCAGGCCGATATAACCGGGGTAGTGGCAGCTACTAGCGCGCTAGGCATGGGTGTTGATATACCCAATATTCGCAGTATAATTCACATTAGCTTGCCACGCAGCTTATTGGATTATGCGCAAGAGAGCGGCCGTGCTGGCCGAGACGGGCATCGTAGTGAGGCCATTATTATACAACCCGCTAGGTTTTTACGGCCAAAATGGGACCCGATTCATGAAGACCCCGTGAAAGCACAGGCTGAGCAAGCAAGGCTTGACCGATATATGTCTCGAGATAGCTGCCGACGCGTCATACTAGACGAGTATTTAGATGGCTATCCACGGCAATATTGTGGAGAATCCGATGAGACAGAGCAGCGCTGCGATAGGTGTGACGAGCATTGGCAGGCAAAT